GGTTAAATGCAGAGACTAATTTTGCCATTGTATGGAAACATACAGTGCTGACATTGTGATGACATTATTATTATTATTATTATTAAAACCCCCTCGTTTCACAAAAACCCCTGTAGTGCAGTCCAGTCTTAAGATTTGGTCACAGTACAGGAGTCATTTTAAGTTTGTGCCTGCATCAGTAACTATGCCTCTCATACAGAATCATATTTCCTCCTGGTATTACTGATGGTGCTTATGTACATTGGAAACACAATGGCATTAACACTTTTAAAGATCTATATAAGAAGCACTTTCTCCAGTTTTTCTGACCTATGTTCAAAAACAACTCTCCCAGTGAATCATTTATTTCGTTATTTTGAAGTGTGGCATTGCACATCTGCTCTTTTTCCTTCTGAACCTTCTCTTCCAAGTATCCAGCCATGGGAGGAACTATGGTCGCTTAAGCCCAACAAGAAATCGGTTATATCCTCAATATATAAAACACTTATAGATTTGGACATCAATTCAGTAGCTAAATTAGGAGAGATTGGGAACAGGAATTAGGTATGACTGTTTCAGATCAACAGTGGGAAAAAGCAGTAACCAATGTTCGTTACAGTTCACCCTGTGTCAGGTTACAAGTTATTCAGTTTAAGGTACTATATAGGGTTCACTATTCAAAGTCTTGTCTGTCGGAGTTTTACTCACAAGTGGTAGATCAGTGTGAGAGATGTCATGCCAGTCCATGTAACCTGAGTCACATGTTTTTCAGGTGCCCAAAACTCCATAGCTTTTGGATCCAGTACTCAGCCATTCTTTCCAAAGTACTTGAAGTTCAAGTTTGTATGAACCCTTTCTTAGCTATTTTTGGGCTTCCAGTCAATACTGTATTAACTGACCCTACTCATGCTAAAGTATTATCCTTTGCACCACTTTTAGCCAGGTGTTGTTTTCTACGCCTTTGGAAATCTTCTAGGACACCATCCATTTCTTTGTGGTTTTGAGATGTTATGTCATTTCTTCAATTGGAAAAAAAGGTCTTAGAGCAAAGGGTAGCTATGGAAAATTTGATCAGACATTGGGTTCGTTCATAAGCTATTGCATGTCACTGAATATCTTACCATCTGACTGATATGATCACCCCCCTCCCTTATTTATTTTTTACTTTTTTATTTTTAGTTTTTTTTACCCGGGCAGCATGGTGGCATGGCTGGTGGAGCTGCTGCCTCTCAGCGAGAAGGTCCCTGGTTCAAATCCCGGTCTGGGGGCCTTTCTGGGTGGAGTTTGCATGTTCTCTTTGTGCATATGTGTGTTTCCTCCGGGTACATCGGTTTCCTCCCATGGACCAAAAACATGCATGTTAGACTGATTGGTAACTCTAATTTGTCCCTAGGTGAGAGAGAGAAAGTGAATGGTTGTTTGTCTCGTTTGTCTCTATGTGTCCCTGTGATGGACTTGCGACCTGTCCAGGGTGTACCCCGCCCCTCGCACAGTGATTGCCAGACATGGGCACCGGCGACCCCCGTGACCCAAAATGGAATAAGCGGGTAAAGATAATGGATGGATGGATGGATGTTAGAAATTGTGGCCTACTGTGTATTGTTTGTATATATAAAAAAAAATACAAATATGCAAGGAATGCCATTATAGTACTGTACACTTGTGTTCTTCAATAAACAGATAAAAAAGCAGTTTCAGTGGAATGGTGTTTTAAAAAGCCAGACTGAAAGGGATCAGGGATCTACAACTGACATAACCAGGATATGAGTTGGGTTTCTACAGCTTTTTCAAGTAATTTACTGAGACAAATCCTTTGTTCAGGGAGTTGTTAATTATCACCAGCACTGTTGGGTCAATACAAGTTAGAGTCTGAACAAGATAAGAGAGTCCAAAAAAGTGAGTGGTAATAGTCCCAATGAACAAGTAGAGAGTTTCATTTTGCCACTTAATGAGGTCAAGCCATTTAAAGTAATCGAAACAAAAGAAGAATTCAAAAAAGTTCAAGACAAAATAAACAAAACACTGAGGCTCATCTTGAAAAGTAGAGGAACTCGGAGATATATTGGATTTCAGGTCCATCACCTTCTTTATGAAAAAACTGAGTAACATTTCATAGTTTGAGGTTAATGAAGCATGGTGAGCTGGAGGATATACAATAGTACTGATAGTATTAAATACTATTTTAGGATTGTTTTTGTTCTGGTGAATGAGATTGCTAAAACAAGATGACCTGGCACCACTAACTGCCTTGTTTCAAGCATCAAAGGGACCTTTAAAATATTCCCATTGGGCAACCAGACCAGTCCTCTTCCACAGGTGTTCTGTTTTACGACAAGAGCACCTGAGTTCTCGAGTTTGGTTGTTTAACCAAGGTGAACAGGGTTAAACGGCCCCACAACAGGTTTTGTAAGCAGCAACACTGTCAAGAATAACAAGGCAGTGATCATTAAAAGAGTGAACCAGAAGCTCCACATTATCATCAGAAGATGCTGTAAATAAAAAAGAGGTAAGAAAACACTGCAACTAAATTTGTCAATAAAGTGTCTGCACTTACTGGTAATCTGAGAAAAAGTCTCCAAATAACAGGGGATATTAAAAGAGACAATCTTGTGGTCACTGCAAATGACATATTTTATATCTATATTATTATTAATATTATTATTAATTATTGCTTTGTAGAGAGTGGTGAAGGCTGCACAGAAGTCATCCATCATTAAACGGGTGGAGGCCTACGTGTTCAATTGTCCCCCTCTTACAATGCTGTGATTGCTAGTATCACTCAGCCCTCTGTGAACAGTAAACAGCCATCAGGTGCTAATGATCCATTGTTAGGCTGATGGTCCTTCTTGATCATGTGATCAGCTGGTTCTGGTTGTCAGCAGCAAAACTGGTTGATCCACTCTGAGAAGGTGCTGTTTAAGAGACTGAGCTGAATACAGCACCTCAGACTGAAGAAGTCTCTCGGATGAGAGACGAAACACTTCTACATTTTTTGTTTTGTTTTGTTTTTTAATGTCCAGAGGACCAGATTTAACGTTTTTAGATTTTTCTACCTGCATAATTGAGCATGCATCAGGATAACCTGTCAGAAAGATCTTCAATGCTCACTGCCACAGCTTCAACCACAATTCAGTAGAGGTGGGGGACTTTAAGTCCAAGTGGTCTATGTTCTGCACCTCCGTTGTTGAGGCAGCTGCCTTGATCTATGGCTGCAAGGTTGTCATTGACTTTCTGGCTGTTGCTGAGGGAAAGTCTTGGATGTGGGACACCTTGGATAGAGATTCTCTAACAACTCCAAGAAGATTCTGACAATCCACCAGGCAGCTGAGGTGGGGAAAGAAGTATTTTACTAATTCTGTGAGCAATAGAGGTGGAATGCTATTGACTTCAACCAGTGATGTCATTGGGTGGTAATACTTCTCAGTATTTTGCAGTTCTTCTCAATTCTACCAGCATGTATTTCATGGAGGTAGCTGAGTCAGAGGACTTTGGCAGTTGTTTTGTCAATAACAGAGGTTGAGGTCACAGTAAAAAGTTCACGGGGTGGATGAGATCCACTGAGTTCCTCCATGCTTTAGATGTTGCTGGTTTGTCTTGGTTGAACATTGCATGGACATCGGGGGCTGCACCATTGGATTGACAGCTGTGTTTCACTGACAGGGTAATCACACTCCTCAGCCTTGGTAAGGTCTATTCAGGGCTGATAAAGAGGAGTCCAATTGATGGTTGAACCTCACATTCAGGGGAGAGTTTCTTGGTGCAGCCAGGGAGCATAGGGAATCCGGTTGAGTGGCCTCAGGATAACATCTCTGCTACTAACCGATCATGTGATCCTGTTCATGTCATCATGCCGTGACCTCCAGCTCTCACTGTAGCAGTTCACAGCCTAGAATGAAGAAGCTGGAATGAAAATCAGCATCTCCAAATCTGAGGCCATGGACCACAGTCAGAAAAAGGTGGATTGCTCTCTCTGGGTTGATAGTGAGATTCTGCTTTGAGTGGGGGAGTTCAAGTATCTCAGCATTTTGTTCACGAGGGAGAGAATTATGGAGTGTGAGAGTGACAGACAGATCAGTGTGGCTTCCACATTATGGTGCACTTTGTGCTGGTCTGTTGTGATGAAGAGGGAGCTGAGATGTTTGGCAAATCTTTCTGTTTACCGGTCAGTCTACATTCCTACTCTCATCTATGTTCACAAACTCTGGGTAGTGATTGAAAGAACCTGATTGTGAATCAAGGTCGTTTAAATTAGTTCTCTCTGCAGTGTTGCGGGCAGCATGGTGGTGCAACTGGTAGAGCTTCTGCCTCTCAGCACGCAGGTCCCCGGTTCAAATCCTGGTCCGGGGCCCTTTCTGGGTCGAGCTTGCATGTTCTCTTCGTACATGCATGGGTTTTCTCCGTGTACTCAGGTTTCCAAACATGCATGTCAGGCTGATTGGTGACTAAATTGTGCCTAGGTGTGAGTGAGAGAGTGAATGGTTGTTTGTCTCATTTGTCTCTGTGTGGCCCTGTGATGGACTTGTGACCTGTCCAGGGTATACCCCGCCCCTCGCACAATGATTGCCGGACATGGGCACTGGCGATCCCCATGACCCAAAATGGAAGAAGCGGGTAAAAGATAATGGATGGATGGATGGATGGATGCAGTGTTGCTGGACTCTGCCTTAAAGATAGGGTAAGTTCAGTTTTCCAGGACAGACTCAGAGTAGAACCGCTGCTCTTCCACATGCAGAGGAGCCAGTTGAGGTGGTTCAGACATCTGGTAAGGACGGACCCTGGATACCTCCTAGGGAGGTGCTATAAGCATGTTCAACTGAGAGGAGACTCTGAGGATGACCCAGGACATGTTGGAGAGACCACATCAAGCCTGGGAACACCTTGAAGTCCTCAGAAGATCTTGAAGAGGTGGCTGTGGAAAAAAATGTCTGGATCTCTTCTCAAGCTGCTGCCACCATGACTCCTCATTTTCCACATTTATTTTTATGTTCATCATTTCTATAGATACTAAGAACTGGACTCACCTGAGAAACTTGTTGAGATCTCCGTATTTCATGTACTCGAAGACCATGATGAGAGGGTCTCCATCCACACACACTCCATAGAACTTTACTATGTGCTCGTGCTGAAGGTTGGTCAGTAACTCTGCCTCATGTTGAAAATCCTTCCTGGCTGCAAGTGTTGGATCCTTCAGAGTCTGCAAACAGTCAATGTCAGAATATTTCTCACTATGTGTCGTTTTATTGACAACTGTGGCTTATTTTGCACTTTTCTGAAGTTCAACATTAAACATAAATATTAGTTTGTTACAGGGTGATGCAAAAATAATATTTTATCATGTGCCGCTCTTATAAAACTTGAGTTTGGGGTTTGAATAATTTTGCATTCTGATTTTTTTACATTTCATATCATTAATCATTATCTGAATATGCATACAAAGCCCCCTTGAAAAACACACCTGGAGTGGTTGACCCAAGGTTGGCTGGGTCATAAAGGGGACTGAGAAAGAAACAATTTTATTTGTCAGTCCACCATGGAAGCACTTGTTTGGCATCATAGCAGCTTAGATGATGAACATGGATGACAACAAACTGCAAGCCAAAAGAACAGAAAGACACTGACCCATGTAGTGAACTAGGCCTCCGACTAAAACCTGCCTCTGAAGACCTTCGTGGGACAGGAACTGTATTTCATTTATTTGAATCCAGAAATACAAATTAGCTCATCCAGAGACTGTCTAATTGTATCCTGAAGTAATCAATTGAAAGAACACTCTTCTTTTTATATTATCATTACTATTTTACAATATCTTGATAATAAAAGTGTGTTTAGTTCATATCATTCCTAATGTTGAAGTGAACCACTCATTTTAAATCAACTGTGAAACAGTATTAATGATTTTTTATACCTCATTTAAATTAGAAATCAAGTTAAATGTCTATTTACAAAGTAATTATGCATTTTGATTTTCTGTCTAAAGGAGAAGTAGTGATGTCGGTCAAAAGTCAGAGACAGTCAGAAAGAAGTTATTAGAATAGGCTGTATTGTTTTTAAACCTAGCAGACGGTAAAAAAGAAGCAACTGGCACCTGCTTCCTCTCACTTCTTCAAAACATGTCTCTGTCTGTACTAAACGTTCCTAAACATTCCTGCTGTCTTTTTGACTTTTAATAACCCTCTGGCATCACTAGAAACACCCCCTGTTGGTTGTTTCAACCAATCAGGAAGTCCTAAGTGACCGGAAGTGAGAACTCTTTAAAAGTCCACACTTCCTGGAACTACTCAGTCTAGCCAGTCTTCTGGAGTCTACTCCGTCTTACGGAGTCTACTCTGTTCTTCTGAAGTCTTGAATCTGAGTTGAACTCAGTCTTTGATGGAGTCTTCTCAAGCCTTGTGGAGTCTTCCACTTCTGAGAGTGGAAACTCTGACGGACTCACAGATGCTTGCTGTGAATCCACCCGGGTGTAACGCCTCCAACTTCGAAGGGAGCTGAGCCTGTTTGTTGAACGGAGTAAACCGACACGACTTCTGACGATGACCAGCCGCTCTTACTGGAGACACTAGAAGGTAGCGTTGAAATGGACCCGACACCGGAGCTGATTTATCTCCTGCGAAGGTAACGAGTCATGACGCGCTAAGTGTACCGGAGGTTTGAGCTGGTGATTGAAAGAAGCGTGCCATCCTGAACTAAACATACACCTCCTTTCACCCATCTTTTCTTTAAACCTCTAAATTCCTTCCTTTAAACTCTTCTATTTTGCCAGTAATCTAGATGCCTTCAGAAATGTCTTGTTGTCTTATTAGTAAAGCGTGCCAACTTTTATTAATCAGAACCAGATCAGCTAATCATGTGTGCACGTCCTTAAAACTCAACAGTCACGTAAACATGATGGTAAAATCCTGTTTTTTTCAGCTGAGACGGCTGTCTAAGCTGAAGCCTATACTCAACAAAAAGAACCTCGAGACAGTGATCCACGCCTTCATAACATCTAGGCTTGATTACTGCAATTCACTTCTGTTTGGAATCAGTCAGTCCTCCATTGCTCGTCTACAACTGGTCCAAAATGCTGCAGCCCAATTTTTAACTGGTACAGGCTATAGAGAGCACATCACGCCAGTTTTGGCCTCCCTGCACTGGCTACCCATTCACCTTCGGATCCATTTCAAAATTCTCATGTATGTTTTTAAATCACTGAACAGTTCCGCCCCATCCTATCTCACTGATCTTCTGCAGCCATATGTCCCACCGCGCTCTCTGAGGTCAGCAGACCAGATGCTTCTCTCAGTCCCAGAAACCCGTCGTAAGCTCAGAGGTGACAGGGCTTTCTCTGTTGCAGGTCCACGACTGTGGAATGAGTTGCCACTGAGTGTCCGGCAGGCTCCCACACTCTCAGTCTTTAAGTCTCGCTTGAAGACCCACTTCTATTCGCTTGCCTTTAACACGGTGTGATTTGTTTTGGTCCGGTCTGTTCTCTACTCTGTTGGCCATTTTAGTTAGCTCCTGCTGCTATTTGTATCTGTATTTCTATTTTATGTTTTCCTGTCTGCTGTGCATGTTTGTGTTCTTTTGTACAGCACTTTGGTTGGCCTTGTTGCTGTTTTAAGTGCTATATAAATAAATTGGTATGGTATGGTATGGTATGTTTTGATGTTAAATTTTGATTCTGTTAAATAAATGACCTCCTTTATTCTGATGGGTCAAAGGAAACTTAACGTCTCTTGTCACTGATTAAACAATCCTCACAGTTACCTAGTCACATGCATTAATTTAACTCGAAAAAGAAAGAACCCGTTATATTTAAATAATTAGTAGGGAAGGTACAGTAAGCTGTCTCCCACTTTCACTACATTTGGTGGGACCGTACATGTTTTAAATAACACATTTGGTGGGACAGTATGTCCACAGTAAGCTGTCCTTGACACACTACATATTTGGTGGCCCGTAAGGGGATCTAAAGAGATAAATTCCTCCATCTCCTCTTTAAACCCCCACCTTCTACATTTTGGTGGCTGAACAGGTTTCTAAGGAGATATAATTATATATGACACGAGTATCTGTGCTGTTGAAATGACGCTGCATGTTGGCACATAAAAAGTCAGAGTTTTGAACTTGAACGGACATGATAATTCATGCTTTTGGTGGTCAAAAAGCTGCAGATTACGTCAATGTCCATCCATCCATTATCTTTACCCGTTTATTCCATTTTGGGTCACGGGGGTCGCCGGTGCCCATGTCCAGCAATCACTCAGCGAGGGGCGGGGTACACCCTGGACGGGTCGCAAGTCCATCACAGGGCTACATAGAGACAAACGAGACAAACAACCATTCACTTTCTCATGCACACTTAGGGACAATTTTAGAGTTACCAATCAGCCTAACATGCATGTTTTTGGTCTGTGGGAGGAAACCAGAGCACCCGGAGAAAACCCACGCATGCACGGAGAGAACATGCAAACTCCACCCAGAAAGGCCCCTGGACCGGGGTTTGAACCAGGGACCTGCTCGCTGAGAGGCAGCAGCTCTACCAGTTGTGCCACCGTGCTGCCAGAAGCATCCCACATAACATTTTTGATTAGCTTACAGAAAGGCATGGCTCTGCACTAGGCTAAGGCTTATCTCAATTCTCATGATGTTGATAACATAACTTTTGATACCTTTCTTCAGGAGTTCCAGTGGGTTTTTGATTGTCCTTGTCACTAAGAGAAGGCTTCCCAGAGGCTAATAGCCCTTCTACAAGGTAAATAGTCTATAGCGAACCACCCTATTAACTTCTGGGTCGCAGCAAAAGAAGCCTGCTGGGGCAAAGTAGCATTAAAATGGGTGTTTGTAAGTTCTCTGTCAGATAAAATAAAGGATCAACTAGATACCCATGATGAACTGGATTCCCCTTTATGATCTTATCAAATTGGTGATTCGGATTGATGGCCAGATGCAGACACGTCAGCAACATAGAAACTACTATGCCCTGGCATCTGAGCCACGCCCATTTCCAGGAATCAGCCTCCTTCCATCCAATCCCCCTTTGCCAGCGTTGACAAGCACTGAGGTTGAACCTATGCAAATTGGACACACACAGCTCACACCGGAGGAGAACCAATACCGGATTGGGTTTGCAAATTAGCCTGTGGCTTGAAACCTTCATACAAAACAACGGTTCCTTCGTTTTTAACATGTAACATTGTTTATTGTGCTGTCCTTGTTCAAATAAATTTGAATGAATTACAGCTAGGGTCTACATTTATTACGGTATTGCAAACTGTTCAGCGAGGAGAAAAGGAGAGGCATAACAAAAGACCAGGAGATACTGGTGGGCAATTCAACATTTTCTCCTAGAAATTAGATTGTTTTACTCACTACCTTATTAATCAGAGATATTTATCTTCCTGTTGTTTCTTTAGTTGATTCTGGTGCTAAACAGAATCTCATTAGTTCTGAGTTGGTGGAACACCTGAACATTCCTGTTGTTACCATAAATCACCCAGTGACTGTTTCTGACCTCACAGGGAAAAACATGACCACCATCACTCACAAGACTGCATCTTTGCATTTCCTTGTCGCTGGTAATCCCCGTGAAGAGGGTGAGTTTTTTGTATTTTCTTCGCCCGCCTATCACGTTATATTAGGATACCCTTGGTTAAGAAAACACAATCCTACTATTAATTGGATGGAGAAGAGTGTCAATTCATGGAGCAATTATTGCTTAGAAAATTGTCTCAGCTCAGCAGTCACTCCTTGTGTTACAAACATGGCACCGTCTGAAGAACTAGATTTATCTAAGAACCCTACTTGTTATCATGATCTCACCCCAGTCTTCAGTAAAGAGAAGGCCCTCTCCTTACCCCCACACCGACCTTATGACTGCTCTATCGATCTCTTTCCAGGTCCCCCTTTACCATATAGTAGACTGTATACTGTATATATAGTAGACCAGCCCAGAAAGAGAGGCCATGAGGAAGTACACTGAGGAATCCTTAGCTTCTGTTATCATCAGACTGTCCACCTCTCCAATGCATGTTTCTTTTTTGTAGATAAGAAGGCCAAGACCCTTAGATCCTGTATAGACTACGGAGGCCTGAAGCAGATTATGACAAATAATAAATACCCTCTGCCCTTAACTGATTCTGTTTTTGAACAATTACACTCTGCTACCATATTCACTAAGCTTGAGCTGCATAATGCATACCATCTGGTGTGCACAAGGGAGAGGGATGAGTGGAAGACATCCTTTAAGTCACAATTGGGCCACTTTGAGTATTTGGTTATGCCATTTGATTTAACTAATGCCCCTACTGTTTTCTAGGCACTGGTGAATTATGTTCTTAGGGATTTCCTTAATATTTTTGTATTTGTCTACTTGGATAACATTTTTTTTTCATTTAGCCTTTATTTATCCAGGTTAGTCTCATTGAGCCACGAGAACTCATTTTCAAGAGAAACCTGTTTTTTTTTTTAGGGAGCACATGGTGGGGGTTAAGGGCCTTGCTCATGGGCCCAGAGTGGGGTGAATGAGGGTGGGGGCAAGTGTGGGTGTTTCACCTACCCCACCCACAATTTTGATGTTGTCGGGGCCGGGGCGTGAACCGGCGATCTTCGGATCACAAGCCCACCTCTCTAACCTCTGTGCCACCACTCCCCGACATCCTGATCTATTCTAAGAACCCCCCAGAACACACCAAACATGTTAGATCAGTACTCCAGAGACCAATGGAAAAATTATGTAAGTTGTTTGAGAAGGTAGAAAAATGTGAATTTCATGTGCCCTCTGTGTCCTTCCTTGGCTGATAAAGGACTGGTTCAATATGACCCAAGAAAATAAAGGCAGTCTCTGAATGGCCTATTCCTGAGAACCACAAACAACTGCAAAGATTCCTTGGTTATGCCAATTTTTATAGGCACTTTATCAAAGATTAAATTTGTATTGCCCTTCCTCTCACTCAACTTACCTCTACCCTTAAGACTTTCTCCTGGTCTCCTGAAGCCGACGTAGCCTTCCAAAAGTTAAAGAAGCTTTTTGTCTCTGCTCCCATCCTCTCACCCAGACCCAGCTAAACAGTTCATCCTTGAAACTGATGCTTCTGATTCCGGGGTCGGGGACGTCCTTTCTCAACAAGCTGAAGATGATGGTAAATTACACCCATGTGCATTTTTTCCCCAACATCTGTCCCCAGCCAAGCAGAATTTTGATGTGGATAACCGTGAACTCTTAGCCATAAAACTAGCCCTAGAAGAATGGAGGCAATGGTTAGAGAGAACTAAACAATCGTTCATCATCTGGACAGACCATAAGAACATCAATTATATCCAGAATGCTGAGGCTAAACGCTAGACAGGCTCGGTGGTCATTATTATTATTTTTTGGGGGGGAGGGGGGGGGGATGTTGGCGCAGAGGTCAGAAGATGGGCCTATGATCAGAAAGTTGTAGGTTCAACTCCGGGTACTGTCAACATCAAAAATGTGGGTGGAAAAGGTAGAGCACCCACACCTCCCTCCAACCTCATTCACCCCACTCTGGGGCCCTGAGCAAGGCCCTTAACCCCCACCATCTGCTCCCTAAACAGGTCTCTCTTGAAAATGAGTTCTCGAGGCTCAGTGAGACTACCTGGATAAATAAAGGGTAAATGAAAAAATATTTTTTGCCCGCTTCAATTTCCTCATTACCTACCATCCAGGCTCTTGTAATGTCAAACCTGATGCCTTGTCTTGTCAGTTCTCCTCCTCAGAAGTTTCCAAGGCAGATGTGAATATCCTGCCATCAACGTGCATGGTTGGTATGATCACCTGGGACATCATAAAGGTTATCAAGGAAGCTTAACAAATGGATCCCAACCCTGGTACTGGACCCCCCAATAGATTGTTTGTTCCTGATTCCTCTAAAAAGCAGGGTCTGGAATGGGTCCACTCATTTAAACTGACCTGCCATCCCGGATTCAACCGTATGTTGTCTTTCTGCAGGTGACATTTTTGGTGGAACAATATGCACAAGGACATTAGAGCGTATGTGGCAGCCTGCTCTGTCTGTGCCAGGAGTAAACACAGTAGCCAACCACCTGCTGGCCACCTCCAACCACTGCCTACCCCTAGCAGACCCTGGTCCCACATAGCATTAGATTTCATCACTAGTCTACCTCCCTCTTTACGTAATACTATGATCCTGATTATCGTTGATTGATTTTCGAAGTTTACTCATTTTGTTCCCCTTTCCAAGTTTCCTACTGTCCTGGAGACCGCCCAACTCATAGTTCACCATGTCTTCCGCATCTATGGGATTCCCGTAAAACATTACATCTGATTGGGGTCCTCAATTCATCTCCCAGGTATGGAAGTCATTTTACAAAGCTCTTCGGGCCTTGGTCATTCTCTCATCTGGTTATCATCCTCAGTCTAATAGGCGGACTGAGAGATGTAACCAAGAACTGGAGGCAGCCTTAAGGTGCATTATCAATAATAATCCCTCAACCTGGAGTCAGCATCTGGTCTAGATTGAATATGCACACAATTCTTTAACCTCCTCTGCTACTAACCTGTCCCCATTTGAAACATTTGGCTACTCACCGTTGCTGTTCCTCAGTCAGGAAGTAGATGTGGCAGTCCCCTCTGTTCAACATCACCTACACCAATGCTGCAGGATCTGGTGACAGATCAAGGAAGCCCTCCTCTGCACCATAACCTAGAGCACGAGGTTCATGGATAGACATTGTACCTCTGCCCCCACCTACCACATTGAACAGAAGATATGGCTTTCATCATACAACATCAACATTAAAGACACCCCCAGAAAAGTATGCCCTAGATTCATCGGTCCATTCCCCATCGTAAGTATCATTAACCCTTTGGCTGTTAAACTTACCCTGCCCTCATCCATGAGGATCTACCCCACATTTCATGTCTCTCAGATAAAGCCTGTCTCTGAGAGTCCTTTGTGCCCTCCTGCCCGTTCCCCTCCACCTACCTGTATCATTGCGGGCATTCACTGTCTGCCACATCCTGGATGTTTGACACATCAACAGGGGGTTCCAATATCTCTTTGATTGGGAGGGATGTGGCCCCAAAGAAAGATCCTGGATTCCCAGATAATTTATTTTGGACCCAAGCCTCATTTCATTTTTCAACAAGGATCATCCAGAAAAGAGGTTGAGATTGCCAAGAGGAGAGTCTTGAGGAAAACGCAATGTAGGGATTCTAGTTTATTTAGTTATAGGCTTTACTTTCTGTTTCCTGAGTGGCAGGAGGGAGCTGATTACTCCCAGCTGTTACCACTTCTTTGATGAGAAGACTCCAGTACTTAAGGCCCTGGGAAGCTTTTGGACACTGCCAGAACATTGTCCCACTTATGGTACCATGTCCAGTTTAGCCTAGATCCAGAGTTCTATACTTTGACTAAAAACCTGTTTCCTCTTACCTCCTGCAGCTCCTTGTGAAGACCCGTCTCCACACCATCCTGGTTCTGTTTCATGCCTTCCCATGCCATAAGTTTTCCCCAGTGAGTCTTTTCCCTCATTCAAGCCTCTGTACAGAATAACCCTTCATTCATCCAGCATCTGGCTCAGAGGTTTGCCCTACCACCTCTCATACTCACCTCCAATATGGTTTCCTTGGTCTGGCTCGCCAATCGTATCCCCCCCTGGATCCAACTCCAAGCCTGTAAGACAAACATTCAAGCAAGTCTTACATCACTTCTGCTGGACAATTATTGACTACATCCCTGTTTGCTGCCATACTCATCCTGTGTCTCTCCCCACAGTCCACTCTTGAGTTCCTGCCCTACACTATAAATAAACTCACTTAACTTTATTGTTGTTGGTCTCATGTTTTGGTCTGACTCTTGGGTATCTATAAAAGTCTAACACAGAACGTGACACATTTGTGTTTTTATTGTGGGGAGGGTAAGCACACTATCAACCAATGTCCATTTAAAAGACCAGACTCGACAGGGAAGAGGAGGCACCTGCTGAATCAAATCAGAACACCCAGAACCTCCACCCCTTTCACTGTGCCTGCTGAAATTGTAATTGATGGTCAGAAACCTGTCAGTGTGGCTACCTTAATAAATTCTGGGGCTGACACAGAATTTATTGATCATCATTTTGTATTATCAGTGGGTATAGAAGTAATCCAATCTTCCAGTATTCATAAAGTTCCCACCTTAGATTGTCACTTCCCTAATAACTCAGACCTCGAGACCAAGCCTATTACTCTATTACTGTGAGGTAACCACAAGGGGAAAATAAAGTTTATTGTTATCAACTCTCCTCAGCTTCCGGTTGTTCTTGGCTCTTCTTGGTTGAACAAACATAACCCACGTATCTACTGGAGGGGTAAGGAGATTGTTGGCTGGGCTAATGACTCTCTGACTACTTGTTTACTTGATGCTGTCTTACCTTCAGCTACCACTGCAGTTGTCAAAGAAACCTATCCGGATTTCTCAAAGGTCCCAGCTGAGTACCATGACCTCAAGAGAGTCAGAGTCAGAGATTCTTTATTGTCATTCGCACCTCATTTGGTACATGTGGTGGAGCGAAATTATGTACACAGGGTCCCAGTTACATCCAACAATAAAATGTATAAGAAAAACAGTAATAACATCTAAGATATGAACTAAGAAAAACATCAACTAAAT